AAATAATATTGTTATTTACACTTATTTTTTGTTTAATATGTTAAATATATGATATTATACACTTATTTTTTATTTTTATATATATTTTTATTTCTCTGTGTCTATTTTTTCTATAATTTTGTAATTTTCTATATTTATTTATATTTAAAAATTTTATTATCTAACTATGACTTCATGGGTTGAACAATTTGATTTGGATAGTTGAATTGCATAGTCATCAGTTGGATAAAGAATGATTTTGTTCAAGGTTTTTAAAACCAGACCGGACAAGGAACTGTTTTGGGATCTAGTCCCCAGGTCGAACAGTCTTATCGTCCGGTCCAAAAGGATGATCCACTCTAACAAAAAAAAATAAAAAAATAAAAAACACAAAAAAAATGACAAAAAACCGTTCCTAGGTTGAATAGTTCGACGGTTTGACCACCCAGGTCAATGGTTCGCTGATCGAATCAACGGTTTTTGGCCAAAAAGTGATTTTGAGGTAAAACTAAACCAATAAGGTGACTTGTTTCTGGTTTTTCCGGTCCGATCGTTCGGTTCAGTCCAGTTTTGAAAACATTGATTTTGTTTTTGAGTAAGTTCTAAAATATACGGGTTTATATTGTTAAGGATAGATCTAATTAGTAGCATTTATTAGTGAAAATTTAACTTAAATGTAGGATTTAATAAAAGAGAATGGGAGTTAATACATAAAATACAAGAGTTAATAAGAGGGGATTAAATGAAGTGAAAAGCATTAATTGAAATTATATTTTCAACCTTTATAAGTAGAGATGAACTAAATAAGAAATGTGGGCATTTTAGTCAATAAAAGTTTTACACCCTCATTCATACTTTTTATAATAGTATAGATAATATTTTATATATAATTATCATATAGGTTAGGCCGGTTCTCATGGTCCATGGACACTAAGGAAACTAGAGAGTCCCACTATAGATGCCTTTTGGGAGCCCAGCCCAGCCCCTTTTCTGTATGGGCTGGGAAACTTAGATCATGGAGGTCAGGCTCGTGGCTAGCTCAGCCCACTCCTCAGTACTAATGCGAACTGCTCAGCCCACCATTAATAACTCCCCTCTTGATAAACTTTTGATCCATTTGGTAAGTTCCTTGGTGTTTATTTTTGTGATTGATAATTGCAACTGTGTCAAAAAATTTAAGGGAGGTAATTGTAATTATCAAACTTGAGAGGAGGTTTCAGTCTTTCATTAATTTACCCAAAAAATTGTATTTACATAAGTTTCATTATTTGTGTTATTAAGGCTGTGTTTGTTTTAGGTGTAAATTCAGTTTTACACCAATGAAAACATTGGCACCGGTTCAATGATCGGTGGAAAATACAACCGGGTGGATTTAAATTTTCACGTTGATAATGTTTGGCCATCACAGTGTAAAGTGAAAGGCTTCTACTCTGTTTCTGCTCTAGAACTCTCCCTATCCCAGCAACAACTCTCTCTCTCTCTCTCTCTCTTGATATTCTCTGCCTTAGTCTACTTCACCGGCATCCTCTTTCTCCGTGAGTCCCACTGTCCTCCGGCTCCATGAGGTCCTACTGTCCCACTGTCCTCTGGCTTCGGCTCCGTGAGGTCCCACTGTTCTCCGTCTTCTTTCCGTCACTTTTGCCATCGTGCTTCTCATCCTGCTAGACGATGGAGATGAGGCTGTCATCGTGCTTCTCCGGCTCCGGCTTCTCATCTTGTAGCAGAAGCCATAGGTGAAGATGGGGAGTGGAGATGAGGCTGTCGCCCCCTGTGATTGGAAAAGATGATATGGAAAGTTTTATGCCATTCTCTGGTGAAGTGGTTGCTCGGAAAAGATAATGATGGAGCAGAGGCTATTTGACCATTGCAGAGTTTTACACCAAAGATGATGGAGATTTTCATCGATTTTATAGGTGGGAACTTTCCATTGATTCTCGATATAAAACTAACCCTAAGTGGAGTTTTACACTAATTTACAGCACAAAACAACACCTAAAACAAATGTAGGGAAATTTGAACCAGTATAAAACAACACCTAAAACGCCGCCTAACGAAAATAGAGATAGGGGAGAACCTTTGAGAAGTGACTTCCTAGTATTGAAGCCAATTCCAAACCTGAGTTTCTCGTCCATCTGCAAAATAAACACCAAGGAACTTACCAAATGACATTGTCCGCTCCACACATTGATCCATTCTATTTATTGAACTAAAGGAAGGTCTCCTCAGAGGTCGTGCAAACAGATAGCATGGGAGGAGAAGAATTGTCGAGGGGGAACTGAACATTAAAACTCCCAACACGTTTCTTTGAAGAGAGATCAGTGTGGAGTCTTCCCTAGACCTTAATGACATGAATGCAAAAAATGAGGCAGAGTTAGGCTTTGAGCAAGCCTGACCCTTCCTTGTCCAACAAATGAGAGAAAGCGAGATCGGAAATTGAAGTTAGGGATGGGGTTAGGACCCTAGAAGGAACCCAATTCAGGTTAGAAACTTAGGACAAGGTGGGCGGGTTAGAAAAGAAAATGGATTCAGTCAGTGCAAGGCCCGTTCAAACAGCCTTTATAATCTTGCATTGGGAACATCTCCAAATGAAATTAAATACATAAGTATGGAGATATTCCCAATGCAAGGCTGTAAAGGCTGTTCAAATGGTGTTTAAACGAGTCTTGCACTGATTGAAACCGATCTCAATACGTAGCCACCCTGGTAGAAACACCCCCACCCCCGGAAGAGATCTGCTACCAACGAAACGCTCTCAACATTGCCCCAACAGGCCACTGCAAATCTTACCTAAGCATCTCTTTTGTCTTTCATGGGAGATGGTTCTATATTGGTAACTGATCTAAATTCCCTTTAGAGTGCAATATGGAAGGTAATGTACATCACGAGCCAACCCAAGTTAATTGCCAAGTTGGGTCTATCCCAAATTTGACAAAATCTCACACCCAATCCAACCCAAGTTGCACTCCTAATGCTCGAACCCAAACGATTGGAACGCACATTAATGGAATTGATCACATCTATTGCTGCAGGCTGCAGCACTCTCGTGACCTCCAAATGAAACGCAAATATGCTAGCAATGAAAATAAATTCAAAATATCACTTTATTTCTTGGTCACTGTGTTTGTGTTTCATTAGAGGTTGCAAGTAGGGACGTCGACAATTGGATTGGATTTTGTCCAATCCAATTTGATCCAATATGAGTCCATTATAGATAGACCAGGTCCAATCCAATCTGATGAATATTCTAGACCATTTTGGACCAGTCCAATTTAATGTCTGGACTGTCTAATTAATCTGTTCAAATTGGTTTTAATTTAGATGTATGGTTTCAACCCATACCTAGCCATTGACACCTATATTCTTTTCTTCTATCAATGGACCAGATATTGGTTCCATCCAACCCAAATTAATATAAATTCATTACGGATGGATCAATTCCAATCCAATCCAATAAATACTTTGACCATTAAATCTAGACTGGTCCAATTCAATTATCTTATTGGTCTATCAAATCCATCCAAATTGATTTTTGATTTGTACAGGTCCAACCCAAAACCTGCAGCCCATTGATGAGTTTGGCTTCAGTCAGTACAAAGCCTGTTCGAACAGCCTTTAGTTATGTGCTTATGAAAGAGATCTGAATTTGTACTACATCAACAACACTCGAATTGTTATGGAATAAAAAAGCAGGATTCAAGGGGTTAGATTACCAAGACCAAGAGCTTAACGAAAATCTAAACCATCGATCTGTGTCGTAGTAACCTTCAGCCAATGCATGATAATATTCTAATTGAAAATTTAGAAAGAAATATAGTAGCTAGGTTGCTTCTTGGTAATATTAATTCCAAAGAATTCTTGAGATATACGTATGGTCATACGACACCCTCCCAATTGACAATAGTTGAAACAATCAATTCCAAGAAATAAAAGAATGAGGCAGATAATATTAGGTTTATAAGCGAAAGAGCGGGGTTACTTCACCACTTGATCCATGCATTTTCCCAAGTATATCTCTATATACATACCCCACACTACAAAAAATTAATACTCGGAAGAAATGTCCTAATTAATTATATTAACTTTCATTTCATCTTTGAATTATGCCAAATTTCATACATCATCCTATATATATATATAACATTTGTTTTTCTTAACTTGCAAGGTTTGACGTAGTAACGAACCAATCTCTTTTGTTATATGTAACAGCTAACAACTGAGTTTAAAGAAAAAGACCACAACTGTTAGTAGCTACCCGGGACTGGAAATAGTCAATGCTTTTTAATTCCTATTCTACTTTTTCTCAAAATTTGAGAGATCAATGTCAAATGGTAATGGTATTAAGGCTGCAATTAAGTCAGATCGATCAGATCCCATTCGAATCCGAATTTGATTCAGTAAGAATTGGATTCAGATACCTCTAGCTCTCTTGATCCTAATTCAGAAAAGTAGTCTATCTATCTATTTAATCAGCGGAACGGATTTGAATATATCTTAATCTGAATCATAGTCTTGAAAATCTGACAGATTCAGATTCTTATGGTCAATCCGGTTTCTTAGCCTTTAGCGAATCCGATCCGATCCATTTGCAGCTATAAATATGGGGAGCGAAGATCTAGCCCATCATTTAATTTAATGGCCATGACCACGAAGTCAATGTAGTATCCAAAAACTGGCTCACCAGTCAATGTCCATATTACGATGCCTAGTCTCCCCGCGGTTGGGTGGTTGTTGAAGAAGTCGGATATCATCAATTTTAATGGAAAGCTGCAGTTTGTAACAAGGTCAACGAGACAAAATCCTCAAGGTTTAATTTATAGACAAAGTCAAGACGCTCATGGCCTAATAGCGCATTGAATTAGTAAATTATATATACATAATATATATATATATATATATATATATTACCGAGTTGATGAGAATTGGTGAACTAAATCAAGTAGTTCTAGATCGACTTCTAGTGCCTACCCCTATATAAGCACGGCTCCTCTTGCATGGTTTCTCTCATTATCATCCAATCCAACAACACACAGGAATTAACTTCAATTCCTAGCAGCTACCTAGCTCATCTCTGGTTTATTAATTTATATATCGCCAATCGCCATGGCTGCTCCTGCTGCTAACAGCTACTCTCAGATCTGCTTCATTGTGGTACTTGCCACTACTGTTGTGCTCCCTTCATGTGCACAGCTCTACCCTGACTTCTATGACAAAGCGTGTCCTCAGGCCCTGCCAACCATCAAGAAGATTGTTGAGCAGGCTATTGAACGCGAGCCACGCATGGGAGCATCTTTGCTCCGTCTCCACTTCCATGACTGCTTTGTCAATGTAATTAGCTACATACTTTTATTAATTAATTAGTGTACGTCTCTTCTTATTTATGGCTATATATATATTCAAAAGCTAACAGCCAGTCTACTTTAATTCGTTTCTTCTATCTGTACGTAGTAGCTAGTACCACATGCAACAGCATATCTACTTTTGATTAATCAATTTGCTTTTCCATCGGTCTCTGTGGATGATGGATTTATTCTCTGCAGGGCTGTGATGGCTCGCTTCTTTTAGACGATACCCCAGACTTCACCGGGGAGAAGACGGCAAATCCCAACAGGAATTCTGTTAGGGGCTTTGAGGTGGTAGACGAAATCAAGGCAGCTGTTAACTCGGTTTGCTACGGCAACGTGGTGTCTTGTGCTGATATCTTAGCTGTTGCAGCTCGGGATTCTGTAGCTGCGGTAAGTTAGTATATATATGTATATAATTAATTAGCTAGATAGGCAGAAATTAATACAAGTGATGATAATTAAATAAATTAATGCGCGCCCTTGGATTTGTTGTAGTTGGGAGGTCCATCATACCAAGTGTTAGTGGGAAGAAGAGACGCCAAGACTGCAAGCAAAAACGATGCCAACAACAACATCCCAGCACCTACGCTGGAATTCCAGGGCCTCCTCTCCAAGTTTCAGGCACAAGGGTTGGGGCAGGAGGACCTTGTCGTGCTCTCCGGTGCACATACAATTGGTCTAGCTCGATGTGCCACCTTCAGGGATAGGATCTACAATGACACCAACATAGACTCCGGCTTCGCCGGCGAATTGCGCATGAAATGCCCACGATCCGGAGGCGACAACAACCTTCAGCCACTCGACGACACCTCCACAAGCTTCGACACCGAGTACTTCGATGACTTGCTGGAACAGAAAGGTCTTCTTCACTCGGATCAACAACTCTTCAAAGGTGATGGGAGTACTAGCGACGGTTTGGTGAGGTACTACAACGACAACCCAACAGCTTTCTGGGAGGATTTTGGTGTTTCCATGATCAAGATGGGGAATCTAAAGCCTCTTACTGGAACTAATGGAGAGATCCGGATGAACTGCCGGAAAGTGAACTAGCCAACTAGGTGTATCATCCATCATTTGGGTTTACGATTTTCATGCTCCTCCTCATCATTAGATTATTATATAATGTATGTTTCCCAATTCCCAATTCCCATGCATTCATGTGTTATGTTGTTATCTTATCATCAGTAAATGTCTTCCATTAATGTATTACGTTGATCTACGGTTATATGTAATAATCTCATCGTATATATACCAGTTAGCTCTTCAAACAGGCTGGTGCATTCCTCGTGTTAATTAGTTTCGTTTGATTATGTTATTTGTTATTCAAAGAAGATGTTCTTTGCTTTTTGTTATTGAATAGGGGCAATAATAGAGAAGATAAATTAATCTGGAGCTTGAACCGGCCCGAATGGAATTTTAACCATGAAGCCGGCCTGTGGGATTGATTGCACTAGGGATAACTCAATGAATTGGAATTTCACAGTGTGGAATCTAAAATGCCCACCAAAGATTAAAGTTTTCATCTACCTTGTCCCAAATAATAAGCTTCCATCCAAGGACCTCCTAAGAAGGAGAGGCTTAGATGATTGATGGAGATTGCAGTAGGTGTGGCACTACAGAAGACACCAAGCATATTTTCCATCTTGGACTGTATTTCCTCGACATGCAATTTAGTAATTCTGAACCTTGCAAGTTCAAATGGGGATCAGTAATATCGAAATATCACAATTTGGCTTCCAACTTCAGCGATTATTCAATCATAATACAAGGGGACTCATATCTAATCACATGTTGTCTCAAGGTCTGATCTCTCCTCGGAATTTAAAGAATATTATTTCAAATTGTTTGCAGATGAAGAAGGAGAAGCTCAAAGGTGGAGTTAGCTACAGGTACGTATATACAGAAGTTAACCAAGTGGCAGATTGACTTACAAATTGGGCTCATTCTTTATCTGATGGTTTCACCTCCCTTAATCTTTGTAATCTTCCGGGGAAGTGCTACCACATCGTGTAGCACCAAAAAAATGTTTAAAAGAGTCCATCAACAAACTATAGTTTGAGCTTGAGCCAGACTTTTTGCTCGAAATGAATCACTATCTCTGTCAAATTTCATGCAGTCTGACTAAGATCTTGTGGGCCCAAGACTGATCCGGATGCTAGAATATTGAAAGCGGAAATGAAATACGTTCCACCATGTATTTAAGTTTATAAAAAATGGAAATCATTGATTAGTTCAGTGAATCAGTGATTAGTTCCTGTCAGTTATCAATTAATTAACTGAGCTTTAGAAAAATTCTTCTTGTTTGTGATCTCCTTGACATATACTAACTGGCTGGCACATGTGCAAAAAGAGAGGAGAGAGAATAAAATAAATAGACAAAAAATTAGGAATGATTTCTTGACTTTTTTTTTCCTTAATTGAGCATGTATTTGTCAATTAATATACGGTCCATTTGGTTCGCAGCCTGGACCGAAATCAGAATTGAAATCTTTTGGAATCAAAAGCAAAATAGTCTATTTGTATAGTATATTTGGTTCTGACAGGATTCAAAATCAGAATTAGAATTAACTGGAATGAAATCTCATTCTCAAGAGAGGATGAGGGAATGGCAATTCCCTCAAATGAGAAAATGTCATTCCATCAAGAATAGAAGTGAGATTTCGATTCCGCCCAACCAAATGGATGGAACCAGAACGAGCCATTCTGATTCCAATTTCAGACCCTTATTCCCATAATCCATATGAGCCCTTAGTGACATATACTAAAATGCCTTCAGATCTGCTAGATACTTTTTGACTGGATGTGCTTTGCTAATTTTAAGACCCTAGTATCCGCTACGACTAGACTAGTGACAGATCATGTATGCAGCATGTTTGCAGCATTTTAAGACGCTTATTCCCATAAATCAAACGGACCCTTAGGGCATGTTTGTTTCCTCTTAACTCTTATCTCTTAAGAGAAATCTTTTAACTTTAAGAGAAAAATAGTTGTTCGTTTCTTCTTCTCTTAAAGTGGAATCATATAATTATTTGTTTTCCAATGATACCCCCCAAAAGACAAACAAAACTCGCATATATGGGGTCAAAATGGATATTTGATAATTTTCAAAATTCAGAATTCAAAACAATATTCTCTACATTCAGAGTACAGAGGAAAGAAAAGTTCACCAATACCAATATACCTCTTAATGTAATTATTGCACTCTCAGATGCTAGACTTTAGAGCAAACGAACAAACCCTTAATGACATATACTAAAATGCCTCCTAATATATATATATACCCCACTTTCTCCAAAATTATCTCTAATTCCTATTTATCTCCAAAATTATCCCTAATTTAGTAGAGTGTTTTTTCTCCTAAATTATCTCTAATTCCTATTCATCCTCTCCCATTCATTTTATCTATATCTATCTAAAGAATGTTTGGATCAAAAAATTTAAGAATTATTTAAATATTCTAACAAAATTATATAATAATTTTAAAATATTTGTTAAAAACACAAAAAAATATTTTTATATTTTTACAAAATATATCATAAAACTATGTACTAACAATTTAAATTATGTTTTTCCGAATTTTAAATTAAAATATTTAATAATATGTAATAGCTTTAAATAAATAAAATTCAAATAACAAAAAATTTTACATATTTTATAGATTATTTAAATAACTAAATATTTATCATAACTATATTTTAGATAGTTAAAATAACGAAATTATGTAATAAATATAAAAAAATTCTTCAAAGTAGAAAAATAATTATAACATAATATTGAAATTAATAATAATTTAATAACGTAATAATAGTATAAACTATGATTTTATGGATAATTAAATTCAATAAATAATTAATATTTTAAAATTTAAATATTTTACATATTATTTAAGTATTTAAATAACTAAATATTTTAAATAACAAAATATCTAACATAACTAGATTTTAAATAGTTAAAATAAAGAAATTGTGCAACAAATTTAAAAAAATTATAAAAAGTAGAAAAATAATTATAACATAACATTGAAATTAATAATAATTTAATATTTTTACATGATATTGTAAATAACTAATTTCACTTATATCAAGTAATAATTCGAGAAAATAACTTTCAAAAAAATAATATTTATTAGTAATAATTTTAAACTCTTAATCTGTATTTATTATATAATTATATATACTAAAATTAATATTTATTGTATTTCAATAATTATTTATTGTTTTCTGTCATAAATGTATTTTCAATGATTATGTATAAATTTATTTTGTTTTGTTATTTAACAAAAAAATTTCAATAATTATTGGAGATTAAACTACTATTATTGAATTTTTAAATTTAATTTATTGTATTTTTGTGATGACTTATTGATTAATATTTATTAAAGATTAAACTATTATTTGAGATTATACTGTTCATTGACTAAGTTAATATATTTTTAGTACTTATTGTGTTTTTTTTCATTATCAATATACTTTCAATAGTTGTGTATTTCCACTATAAATTTTCAACATAATTATTACGGAGAACCCGCGTGGCCCAATGATCTTTTATATATTTTTCCAGTAGTAATTCTAGGTACTATTGCATGTAACGTAGGCATAGCGGAGATTAAACTATTGTTATTTATTAGAGATGGGACTATTAATTTAGCTGAAATTATGAGTGTTCATGAGTTGGTCCGGTTCGGTCGTAGGCTATTTGGCCAACCAAATTAACATAGTCAAGTTGGGGAGTTGGTCAGTTGAAATCAACTGACCTTTTGTGAAAACCGACCCACTCAAGTTGTATCGGTTTGGGTCGACTTTTTGGTTTGATCAGTTGTTTTAAAAGATTTAAACTTAAAAATTAAATTTAATTTTAAAAATTATAGTGCAACTATTAAAAAATTAGATTTATGATATAAAACATTTTAGACTAAGAAATATGGGAAATTTCCCAACTTTCCATATTAATAATTATATTTAAAATATAAATAATAATATATATCCATGGCTAAGTCATCCGATTTTGGTTGGTTTACAAATGGCCAAAGTGAAATTGATACAACTTGGTCGATTTGGTAAATTTTTTAACCAAAGTTAATCTAAAATACTAGAAAACCGACCAACTCGGGTCAAGATGATTGAGTTGGTTTGTTTCATCAATTTGATGAATAAATCTAATTGAAATTAATTATTGTTATTTTTGTATTATAAAAAAATTATTAAAAGTAATATATAAAATATGAATAATTATTAATTATTTAAAAATTTGAAAATATAAAACAATTGTGTACTCTTTTGTGTTTCTATTAGGCTACATTTGGATGCGATGTAAATTTTACATTGGTTTGGATTTACATGCGTTTGGAAAGAGAGTGATTATTATCGACGTAAAACTACAATTCAATTTTGCGTGTGTTTGGATGGAGTATAGTTTTACGTCAATAATAGATGTAAACCTCATCACCTCTAAAGTTTTACACCAATAATTGATGTAAAAACTACATTGATTTTATAGATGTAAAACTTTACACTCTTCCACCCATCACTATTTAAAAAAAGCAACGATCAATTTTTGGTTCAATGTAATACGTCATCAGTGTATTTTTACACTGATTCTAAATGCAGCCTTAGGGTCATTTACTAGAACACACCCTATAGTTTTACGCATTTACTTAAACCTACATTATAGTTTTCATTTTAGTAAAACATCCCATATATTTTACAACTTATTTACTTAATCAACCTTTCATTAAGGATTGTTTTTTTGCCATTAGGCTCATATTTTTTTATTCCAAAAATACCCTTAACACTTTTTTGTACAGAAAACATAATTGACCAAATATAGCTAATAGAGTGGTTGCTCATGTCTTATTAAGGGCAAAAATGGTTTTTTTATTTTTATTTTCTTTTGATTAAATTTATTTAAATGAACATTAGGGTCAACATTGTCATTTTCCATTGTCATATAATGAAAGATTGATTAAATCCATTGCAAATTATAAGTGGTGTTTTAGTAAAATACTAACTATAGGGTAGATTTTAGTAAATCCATGAAACTATAAGGGTATTTTAGTAAATGTCCATTTCTATTATTTAACTTTCACTTAATAAATCCTATGCATCGCACGGGTCCCCGCTAGTAGGAACTTGAAGACAGATAATGTATGTAGCATTTTAAGACCCTAGTATCCACTACGATTACACTAGCAGGAGACCTTACCAACTAGTCTGGATCTTCTACAAACCACCTACCATTCCAACAACAACAAATGGGGACACGTGTCCCAAGACATGCTTTATGCCCT